ACTTATTGCTCCTGTGCTCTACTGCGATTGCCATGTGATGTTTTGATTGCTATGTTTCTTGCTGTACTCTTTGAGAGCTGAGTTGGATTAAGTGAACAGGAACCTGCTTTGTTTATCCTTGTCGGGGAAGCTTTGTAAAATCCATCTGGACTTGATTGTGAGATAATGTGGATTTCTAGCTTTTCTCTTTTGTATACTCTTTTAATCGATAAAAAGCCAGTTTTCAAAAAGTACTAATAATGATTACATTTTAGTATTTTGTGAGTAGCGTGCTATGTGCATCCAATTCAATGATATAACTGAGAACTATCTCCCTCAAGGAAATAATTTACCGCATGCTGCCCGCTGGCCCGCCCGCCCACAATGTACTGCAGATGGGTGGCAGCTACAGGCAAAGCGGTGTACGGATACGTCGCTCTGGCTGTACTAACATAGGGGGGCGTTGCGCACGCATCACTTCCCAAACACGAATGAAGATCCCAGTGAACAGGACCCAGTGATCATGTGATCGCTATAAGATCACATGATCACAATGTTAGCAAAGCTGTTATGAATCAATCACAACTTTCTGTTGTAAAAAAAAAAGTAATTTTTCAAATGTTTGTGGCAAAAAAATTAAATCTTCCATGGACTCAACATGCCTCTCAGCAAATTCATTGGGGTGTCTACTTTCCAAAAAGGGGTAATTTGGGGGGTCTTTGCACTGCCCTTGCATTTTAGCACCTGAAGAATTGTGAAAGGCAGTCAGAAAGTAAAAGCTGCATAAATTCCTGTATATACAGTATACCCTATTTTGTAGACGCTATAACGTTCACAAAAAACAACTAATATACATGTATTGGGATTTTGTTTACCAAAGACATGTAGCAGAATACATTTTGGCCTAAATTTATGACTAACTTTAAGTTTATTGGATATTTTTTGTAAAAAAAATACAAAACGGCGCACTCTCCTTGTGCATTACAGTGGTTACAAATGAATTTATTAAAAATGTGACAAATGGATACTTACAAAATGAATGAAAAAATGTGACATGAAGTCAAATGGGTCAATGTCACACAACTGGAGTCCTGTGATGATGGTGCCTGATGATGGGAAAATTTGACAAGTTTCGAGGCACTGTGCGCACATCGCTTCCCACCCACGAATGAAGTTCCCAGTGAACAGGACCTGGTGATCATGTGATCGCTATAAGATCACATGATCACAATGTTAGCAAAGCTGTTATGAATCAATCAATCACAAATTTCTGTAAAAAAAAAAAAGAAGTAATTTTTCAAATGTTTGTAGCAAAAAAATAAATCTTCCATGGACTCAACATGCCTCTCAGAAAAGTAATTGGGGTGTCTACTTTCCAAAAAGGGGTAATTTGGGGGTCTTTGCACTGCCCTTGTATTTTAGCACCTCAAGGAATGTGATAGGCAGCCCATGCTAGCATCAAGACTCCCCCATCTTTAGAGGGCTGCACCTCACCAAGTGACAGAGTTTTATATGTATAGCATGAAGATAAGAGAGCTAATGTTTGTTTCATTTGGATATTTTTTGTAACCTAAAGTGGAAGATATCTTTTTTTTAACTTTCTGTCTTTTTTCATTCATATAAAAAAAAAAAAAATAGAAAAATACCACCAAAAGAAAGCTCTATTTGTGTGAAAAAGGGGCATAAATTTAGTTTGGGTACAGCATTGCATGACTGCGCACTTACCAGTTGAAATAGCGCAGTACTGAATAGCAAAAAAATGGCCTGGTCAGATAGGTGGGTAAATCTTCCGGAGGGCAAGTGGTTAATAACCGAAGAGAGGATTATGTATATATTTGTATTTGCGAGGTAGTGGCTTAGTGTCCACCCTGAAATAGAATATGCTTTTACTGGCAATATTTCCAGCAAAGAAACTTTGCAACAGATTTGATTTGCTTATGTATACAGCAAGCAAGATGCCAAACATCCTAAACAAGAGATTTGTGGTTACATACACTTTCATTTCTTACCACTACTTTCTATACTTTATGAATATAATTTTGTATTTCAAACAATGCATACAGAACACAAATCAGATGAAGGTAAATATGTTTGTTGTTATACGTATTATTAATGCTGAGTTTTTTCTGCAGTTCTCTTTGAGGAGAGTTTTGTTCAGTAGCTGGAAGAATGGAGCTGATGTTGCAACTTATTTATAGAAGCTGAATGAAATAAAGTGTCTTACTTTCACATGCACTAGAAATATGACAAATGGACTCTTATTGTTAGCTCCTGGCAAAGCATTGGGGATAATGCATTAGGAGAGCTGACCAATAACATAGGACACAGAAAAATGGGAAGCAGAACAGCAAAGAAAGGAGTGCTAGATTATAATGGCGTCATACACACCATTAAGTTCCAACGGTGTAGTAATATAATAATCTTAACTCCAAAAGAGTAGTAATTGAAACATATAGGGGAATATTTACTAAAACTGCATGGTGCAAAATCTGGTGCAACTCTGGTGAACAAGCTAAGGTTAGAAGCTGATTGGTTACCATTAGAGATGAGCGAATCGAACATGGCGAAGTGGAATTCGTTTCGAATATTGGGAAATATTCGATTCGCGCCGAATACGAAAATTAGCCAACTTCGGATGCACGAATCGAATTTTCCCAAAAATGGCGGCGACATGTGTGGCGATGGAGCGGGGATCTCTGGGAAGGCGCGCAGACAAGGCGCGCTGACCCACAATGCATTCATTCATGACATGTGATCGCATTAGCCAATCAGCAGCCAGCCAGCCAGCACTGTGTAATGGTGGAGCTATAAATTGCGGCCATCTTACAATTCTCCATTAGCCTGCGGTCATTCAAGAGAGACAGACCTGTCTGTATTAGGGACAGAGTTAGGGCCAGAGAGACTTTAGGGCCACAGAATCGTTACTTAGGGACACAGAATCGTTACTTAGGGACACAGAATCGTTACTCAGGGACACAGAATTGTTAATCAGGGACACAGAATTTGTTACTCAGGGACAGACACAGAATTGTTACTGAGGGACACAGAATTGTTACTGAGGGACACAGAATTGTTACTCAGGGACACAGAATTGTTACTCAGGGACAGACACAGAATTGTTACTGAGGGACACAGAATTGTTACTGAGGGACACAGAATTGTTACTGAGGGACACAGAATTGTTACTCAGGGACACAGAATTGTTACTCAGGGACAGACACAGAATTGTTACTGAGGGACACAGAATTGTTACTGAGGGACACAGAATTGTTACTCCAGGGACACAGAATTGTTACTCAGGGACACAGAATTGTTACTCAGGACAGACACAGAATTGTTACTGAGGGACACAGAATTGTTACTGAGGGACACAGAATTGTTACTGAGGGACACAGAATTGTTACTGAGGGACACAGAATTGTTACTCAGGGACACAGAATTGTTACTGAGGGACACAGAATTGTTACTGAGGGGACACAGAATTGTTACTGGGGACACAGAATTGTTACTCAGGGACACAGAATTAATTGTTACTGAGGGACACAGAATTGTTACTGAGGGACACAGAATTGTTACTCAGGGACAGACACAGAATTGTTACTGAGGGACACAGAATTGTTACTGAGGGACACAGAATTGTTACTCAGGGACACAGAATTGTTACTCAGGGACACAGAATTGTTACTCAGGGACAGACACAGAATTGTTCTACTGAGGGACACAGAATTGTTACTCAGGGACACAGAATTGTTACTCAGGGACACAGAATTGTTACTCAGGGACAGACACAGAATTGTTACTGAGGGGACACAGAATTGTTACTGAGGGACACAGAATTGTTACTCAGGGACACAGAATTGTTACTCAGGGACAGACACAGAATTGTTACTCAGGGGACACAGAATTGTTACTGAGGGACACAGAATTGTTACTCAGGGACACAGAATTGTTACTGAGGGACACAGAATTGTTACTCAGGGACACAGAATTGTTACTCAGGGACAGACACAGAATTGTTACTCAGGGACACAGAATTGTTACTGAGGGACACAGAATTGAACTGTTACTCAGGGGACACAGAATTGTTACTGAGGGACACAGAATTGTTACTGAGGGACACAGAATTGTTACTCAGGGACACAGAATTGTTACTCAGGGACAGACACAGAATTGTTACTGAGGGACACAGAATTGTTACTGAGGGACACAGAATTGTTACTCAGGGACACAGAATTGTTACTCAGGGACACAGAATTGTTACTCAGGGAGGGGACACAGAATTGTTACTCAGGGACACACAGAATTGTTACTCAGGGACACAGAATTGTTACTGAGGGACACAGAATTGTTACTCAGGGGGGACACAGAATTGTTACTCAGGGACACAGAATTGTTACTCAGGGACACAGAATTGTTACTGAGGGACACAGAATTGTTACTGAGGGACACAGAATTGTTACTCAGGGACACAGAATTGTTACTCAGGGACACAGAATCGTTGAATTAAAGATTGTTATGTCAGACAACACGCAGAGGAGTGGCAGAGGAGGCAGAATGTTTCAGGAGCGAGCAGACGTGGCAGCAGAGGAAGGGGTCGTTACTCAGGCAGCACTAGTCGCAGCCAGAGGCCAGTGCTCCCGGTGTCATCCAGCGGTCGTGTCTCCAGGGACGACAACCCTGCCGTCATCGATTGGTTGGCTCGGAATCGGTCTTCCTCTTCCCAGGTCACCTCTGACACCTACAGCCAACGGTCGGTGGGTACGTCAGACACAACCGTTAGTTGGCATGGCCCGGGAGCAAGCCCACTGAAATCACGTGTCCTCTACCTGCCCCTGTCCTTTGGTGTTCCCTCACCAAGCGAAGTATCGCATGCTGTGGGCTCAGCCCCACTGTACAGTGAGGAAGAGCTAACAGAGGGCGGTCAGGAACGGGGGGGGGAGACATCCGCCTCTTCAGCAGCCAGGCGAAGAAGTAGTGGCGAGGAGAGTGTTACTCGGTCGGTAGCCGGTCTAGAGACAGGTCTGTCTCCTGACCCACACGCAGCCGAGGGGGCTAGTAGTGAGGCGGAGACCCTAATTGATGATGATGACTTTCAGGGCTGATCGCACTTGGCAGGGCCTCGTCGTCATCTGCCAGGCCCGTAATCTGCCATGGGCCCCCGTACTGCCGCATGCTACCTCATGGGCTGCTGCCCCGTTAATCTGTCATGGGCCCCTGTACCGCCTCCTCATGCTGCTGCCAGGTCCAGAGTGTCTCATGGGTCCCTGTACGGCCTCCCATTGCTGCTGTCTCCATCGCCACACTCTGCCATGTGCCAGTTTCAGGTCTCCTCACACTGCTGGTGGGTTCCATTTTGTCATAGGGTGCTGGCAGATTACGGGCCTCCCATTGCTGCTGCCAGGGCCCGTAATCTGTCATGGGCGCCCGTACCGACTCCTCATGCTGCTGCCAGGCCCGTAATCTGTCATGGGCCCCTGTTCCGCCTCCTCATGCTGCTGCCAGGTCCAGAGTGTCTCATGGTCCCTGTACGGCCTCCCATTGCTGCTGTCTCCATCGCCACACTCTGCCATGTGCCACTTTCAGGTCTCCTCACACTGCTGGTGGGTTCCATTTTGTCATAGGGTGCTGGCAGATTACGGGCCTCCCATTGCTGCTGCCAGGCCCGTAATCTGCCATGGGCCCCCGTACCGACTCCTCATGCTGCTGCCAGGCCGTAATCTGTCATGGGCCCCTGTACGGCCTCCCATTGCTGCTGTCTCCATCGCCACACTCTGCCATGTGCCACTTTCAGGTCTCCTCACACTGCTGGTGGGTTCCCATTTTGTCATAGGGTGCTGGCAGATTACGGGCCTCCCATTGCTGCTGCCAGGCCCGTAATCTGCCATGGGCCCCCGTACCGCCTCCTCATGCTGCTGCCAGGCACGGCATGGGCCCCTGTTCGCCTCCTCATGCTGCTGCCAGGTCCAGAGTGTCTCATGGGTCCCTGTACGGCCTCCCATTGCTGCTGTCTCCATCGCCACACTCTGCCATGTGCCACTTTCAGGTCTCCTCACACTGCTGGTGGGTTTCCATTTTGTCATAGGGTGCTGGCAGATTACGGGCCTCCCATTTGCTGCTGCCAGGCCCGTAATCTCTGCCATGGGCCCCTGTACCGCCTCCTCATGCTGCTGCCAGGTCCAGAGTGTGTCATGGGTCCCTGTACGGCCTCCCATTGCTGCTGTCTCCATCGCCACACTCTGCCATGTGCCACTTTCAGGTCTCCTCACACTGCTGGTGAGTTCCATTTTGTCATAGGGTGCTGGCAGATTACGGGCCTCCCATTGCTGCTGCCAGGCCCGTAATCTGTCATGGGCCCCTGTACCGCCTCCTCATGCTGCTGCCAGGTCCCGAATCTGTCATGGGTCCCTGTACGGCCTCCCATTGCTGCTGTCTCCATCGCCACACTCTGCCATGTGCCACTTTCAGGTCTCCTCACACTGCTGGTGGGTTCCATTTTGTCATAGGGTGCTGGCAGATTACGGGCCTCCCATTGCTGCTGCCAGGCCCGTAATCTGTCATGGGCCCCTGTACCGCCTCCTCATGCTGCTGCCAGGTCCCGAGTCTGTCATGGGTCCCTGTACGGCCTCCCATTGCTGCTGTCTCCGTCGCCACACTCTGCCATGTGCCACTTTCAGGTCTCCTCACACTGCTGGTGGGTTCCATTTTGTCATAGGGTGCTGGCAGATTACGGGCCTCCCATTGCTGCTGCCAGGCCCGTAATCTGCCATGGGCCCCTGTACCGCCTCCTCATGCTGCTGCCAGGCCCGTAGATCTGTCATGGGTCCCTGTACGGCCTCCCATTGCTGCTGTCTCCATCGCCACACTCTGCCATGTGCCACTTTCAGGTCTCCTCACACTGCTGGTGGGTTCCATTTTGTCATAGGGTGCTGGCAGATTACGGGCCTCCCATTGCTGCTGCCAGGCCCGTAATCTGTCATGGGCCCCTGTACCGCCTCCTCATGCTGCTGCCAGGTCCAGAGTGTGTCATGGGTCCCTGTACGGCCTCCCATTGCTGCTGTCTCCATCGCCACACTCTGCCATGTGCCACTTTCAGGTCTCCTCACACTGCTGGTGGGTTCCATTTTGTCATAGGGTGCTGGCAGATTACGGGCCTCCCATTGCTGCTGCCAGGCCCGTAATCTGTCATGGGCCCCTGTACCGCCTCCTCATGCTGCTGCCAGGTCCCGATAATCTGTCATGGGTCCCTGTACGGCCTCCCATTGCTGCTGTCTCCATCGCCACACTCTGCCATGTGCCACTTTCAGGTCTCCTCACACTGCTGGTGGGTTCCATTTTGTCATAGGGTGCTGGCAGATTACGGGCCTCCCATTGCTGCTGCCAGGCCCGTAATCTGTCATGGGCCCCTGTACCGCCTCCTCATGCTGCTGCCAGGCCCGTAATCTGTCATGGGTCCCTGTACGGCCTCCCATTGCTGCTGTCTCCATCGCCACACTCTGCCATGTGCCACTTTCAGGTCTCCTCACACTGCTGGTGGGTTCCATTTTGTCATAGGGTGCTGGCAGATTACGGGCCTCCCATTGCTGCTGCCAGGCCCGTAATCTGTCATGGGCCCCTGTACCGCCTCCTCATGCTGCTGCCAGGTCCAGAGTCTGTCATGGGTCCCTGTACGGCCTCCCATTGCTGCTGTCTCCATCGCCACACTCTGCCATGTGCCACTTTCAGGTCTCCTCACACTGCTGGTGGGTTCCATTTTGTCATAGGGTGCTGGCAGATTACGGGCCTCCCATTGCTGCTGCCAGGCCCGTAATCTGTCATGGGCCCCTGTACCGCCTCCTCATGCTGCTGCCAGGCCCGTAATCTGTCATGGGTCCCTGTACGGCCTCCCATTGCTGCTGTCTCCATCGCCACACTCTGCCATGTGCCACTTTCAGGTCTCCTCACACTGCTGGTGGGTTCCATTTTGTCATAGGGTGCTGGCTGGCAGATTACGGGCCTCCCATTGCTGCTGCCAGGCCCGTAATCTGTCATGGGCCCCTGTACCGCCTCCTCATGCTGCTGCCAGGCCCGTAATCTGTCATGGGTCCCTGTACGGCCTCCCATTGCTGCTGTCTCCGTCGCCACACTCTGCCATGTGCCACTTTCAGGTCTCCTTACACTGCTGGTGGGTTCCATTTTGTCATAGGGTGCTGGCAGATTACGGGCCTCCCATTGCTGCTGCCAGGCCCGTAATCTGTCATGGGCCCTGTAACCGCCTCCTCATGCTGCTGCCAGGTCCAGAGTGTGTCATGGGTCCCTGTACGGCCTCCCATTGCTGCTGTCTCCATCGCCACACTCTGCCATGTGCCACTTTCAGGTCTCCTCACACTGCTGGTGAGTTCCATTTTGTCATAGGGTGCTGGCAGATTACGGGCCTCCCATTGCTGCTGCCAGGCCCGTAATCTGTCATGGGCCCCTGTACCGCCTCCTCATGCTGCTGCCAGGCCCGTAATCTGTCATGGGTCCCTGTACGGCCTCCCATTGCTGCTGTCTCCATCGCCACACTCTGCCATGTGACCACTTTCAGGTCTCCTCACACTGCTGGTGGTGGTTCCATTTTGTCATAGGGTGCTGTATGGCCTCCCATTGCTGCTGCCTCCACCGCCACACTGTGGCTCCACACTCTGGTTTTGGCCCCGTGACTGCCCAAAATGAGTGAAGTGTGCGGTGATTCTAAGATCGACGGCACTCATCTGCATGTCATACTGACTGACAGTATTATTTCTCTTCCCCAGCAGACTCCAAGGGCATTTAAATTAAGGTACAGTGTTCTGCAGTAATATAAAGGCTCTCTGAAGCCTAGAAACACCCTTTTTATAAGTTAAATTCGCAGCGAATATATTCGACTCGAATCAAATTTATTCCGCGAATTCGCCGAATCAGCCGAATCGAATTTTTGAATACTTCGCTCATCTCTAGTTACCATGCACAGCTGCACCAGATTCTGTGTGTTCCAGTGTTAATAAATCTCCCCACAGTTTTTAGTGTGCTTTTTATATTACTAACAAGCCTTGAAGATTGCAACACCATGCATCTGCTTTTGGGCATTCTATTTTTCTTTGTTCTAGTTGTTCTTTTTTTAATAAACCTCAAGGATAAGTTCTCAATGTTAGTGTATTCACTGAATGCCGATTGTCAAGAATGATACCAAGAAGCGCTATAGGTTTTCTTGAAACAGAATGTATCTCCAAGTCTCACTTCTATCACAAATACCCTGTCTGCACATTCGGTCAAGACCAACCACCTAAGGAATAATTGTATATCTGTACAGGGAATCTTACAATTCGGCCAGAATGTTGCTGTGTTATATTAATGTTCACTGGTTTATGGTGTGGTCCTTCATTTATCTTCTGAAGAAAAGTTCATATTTAGGTTGATGTATATGGCCAGGCTATTGTATGATTTTGGGAAGCAAAGGAGCTAAACGATTAGCTAAGAGTTTCCTAAAAATTTATAATCGTGTTTTAATAATGCTACGGGCCTGTAGTTAGCTGGGGTCCGTTAGGTTTTTGTCCTGGTTTGGAACTTGATGACAGTGATATCAGAATGTTGAAATTGCAAATGAGGTTCTTCTCCGCTCAGCAGAGGAGGAGTAAAGTTCCAGTAGGGCTTGGCCTAATATCTGTGATTAAATTGCTTGTGTAGTGTGTATAGGAAAACCCGTCTGGGCCCAGGCGCTTTGTAAAATGGTTGTTCCTTAATAACTGTACACAGCTCCTACATAGTAATGGGTGCGTTCAAGATTAATCTGTCCTCCTTTTTAAGTTTAGGGATGTGAAGTGCTGAGAAAAAAAGCGTCAAATACGAATCTCTATGGAACGTGAGGGTTGTATGTTCTAGCGATCAAAACAGTTTATAAGCTTACTATAGAAGTCTCCAAAACACTTGGGCTATCTTTGGGGGCAAAATATATGGGTGCCATGCTGTTTTCAAACCAAAAATTGCGGATGGCCAAGACTATTGTGTACACTTAGTTCTAGCATGCATATGACCTTTTGCTCAATGCTGCTTTTTCTGGGTGATCTTGAAATGCATTCCAATGCAATGCAATGAGAATCCTGACTACCTATGGCAACTGAAAAGCAAATCCTGGTACAGGGGGTTTACGCCACATTGCATGAGACCAAAAAAATGTTTGGAGGGTGCGAGACTGGCAATCTGAATAATCTAAAAGAATGTTTGTGCAAATACACTTGTTTTTGTAGTTGTGATTTACAGTTTTTAAATAATTAAAAATAACAACACTTTTTATGTTTTTTGTTTTAAAGCTGCTATGCTCCTAGCTATCCATATGTGATGTCATACTGGTACCTAATGATGGTAATGATTAATGATTATCAAAAGTCTGGTGAAGAGATGTTTGAAATATTGGACATATTAAGCAGGGGCGGACTGGCAAACTCATGGGCTCCCTCGGGCAATAGGGGATCATGGGGCCCCTGTGTCCTTGCCCAAACTCAAAAAAGCCTATGAAAAAGGTACCAGGGGCATCTCATGGGCCCCCAATACTGACCCCACGGCGCCCTCGGGCAGTGCCGAGTGTTTCCAATGGTTAGTATATTATGAAACCTCACAAAAGGTTAAAAATCAGCAGTGTGGTTTGGGGTGCTAGCCCACTGAGCCACTTGGAATTCCCTAACTGCCTCTCAGGGGGTATACAGTGGAAGCAAGATGCCAAACACACTGAAAAAATTGATACCTGTTGTGCTAAAAAAATGTGCATTTATTTATTTTTTCAAAAAGGTGAACTTCTCCTTTAAAGTGGTATTGTAAACCCTTACCTTAAAGTGCCTGGTCTCAGGTGATACACAGAGATTAAAACAGATTCCTCCTACATAAGTTGTACCTGTCTATCTTTAGTCTTGTTTTCTCTACATCCGTGCAAATGTTGAATGTTAAAGCTTGGAGAGCTGAAGTTAATGCTCTTTAGAGACAAGTGAGCGAGCTCTGAGAATTGATTGGAGGGAATAAACACACCCCTCCACACAGCACACAGGAATAGAACTGAGGCTGTCAACCTGCGGAGGTACCCTCCCTTTTCACCATTTTTTCTCTAGGTGTCAGGAAAACGTGTTTAGACTGGATTCATGATGATAGTTGAGGAAAAGGCAGCAGACAGAAAATTATACTTAATGCTATTAACTGAGACAAGTACACACTATGAAGATATGTTTTGTTATTTTCATGTTTGAGGTTTACAAAACCCCTTTAAAACCAAATTCCCGTCCCGGTCCATGTATATAAACGGGGGGACGGGAGCAGTGCAGGGGGGGGTTGGTCATTTTTAAAAAACCTCCCCCCAATCCCGTTGTGTGCACTCCCTGGGAGCGTTCCACCCCGCGAATGCG